AAAAAGGAAAGTGAATATAAGGGGAGAAAAATATATCTAAAATTGCCTTAATTAAGCAATTAAAACTAGCAGGCAAACAGATTTTTAGAATTAAGGTTTTAACCTTAATTTAAATTTAGCATCGTTTACTTAAAGTATGTCCTGGAAAAGATTTTGGGTTCAGTATTATTTCTTACTAAATAAAAGATTCATTATAAACACTTGGCATTTTGTGTGAAGTCCTCATATACAATTATTGAAAGTCAGATAGAATGTATAGAGAATGCAAATAAAGAAATTATGCCTAATTGTTCTGAAATGTTGTCTGCAACTGACCCTCCTTCTGTACAGATTATAGGTCAAATGTAACATTTTTCACTTTGATAGTGAAAATACTCCCATTTCTCTCGGTCTACAAGAAGATAACAATAAGCTTACCTGCATAACTAAACTGACTAAGAACACTACACTGGAGATGACCAGAGCCTTGGAACACTTCACAAGCAAAGCAGACCTAGTATTTCGGTTTCTGCACACTTGTGGAATATGTTGCTCTTTCTCTGCTGTAATAGCAGTCCTGTATGAAGGAGCACTTACCCCTATCTTTGGCACAGAAACATAAAAAGTAAAATAACAATCTACAGCTTTGTAAAGCAAACACAAAAACAGCCAAAAGAAAAACCTTATTAACTAGCACACCACTGCAAAAAACTGCAAAACCAAACATAAAGAGAAAAATTGAAGACATGAGACCAGTATGTGCCATTTTGTTCCCTCCGCTAATTTGGAACAAAGACACAATCACAAAATGCCCTTACATGTTAAAACACAGTGCATGAAAACCAGATCAACATCAAAAGAGTTATAAGAGTTATACTCTCATTTGCTGTTAAAACTAGAAAAAAAAAGTTGTCCTTTCAGACTACTAAAGCGTAGCTAAATGTGACATGTGTGCGCCCCACTGCTTAAAAGAACAAAGTCCACTCGTATCCTACCTGATCAGTATTAAACAGAGCAGAGGCCACGGACTCTTGCTGAAGTGGAAGCAAAGGAACAGACTCTTCACTTTCCTCAGACATAGTTAAAAGTGAAAATTCTGAAGCTAAAAAGTCAGTAACACCTGTTGTAACACCGTAAGCAAACGTAAGTTATGAACTACGCGCTTTCAGGTGAATAAACAGTATCAAAAGAAAATGATAGGGTTGGTTTTTTTCCCCCCCCTATCAGGAAAATAGTTAATAGGAAACCCAGAGCAATGCCCCTGAACCAAGATAAAAAGCTAGGATATCTGATAGAAAGTTTTTATTTATTAAATCCAGATTTATTCATCAGGAGCAGACCCCCTTGCCTGACAGTGGGCACAGACTTCATTAGTTCTCACATACACCATTTACATTTAATGGTCATTATATAGTGACAGATATCGAAGACTGGGCTGAACTCTTCGTGCGTGACTGGAAGAAGAGCTGGCAAATTATCGTACTTGGTGATTTCACATGCTGACTGTTAGCCACAGAAGCTAGATATACTTAAGCAGGAAAGGACTTCTGTATGTACATACAAAACCAAAAGCGGATATGCGTAGGGGAGAAAAATCATTACAGTTAAGTATTGAAACTACACATAGAGTTACATTTAAACATGGTAAGAAAAAGCGCAAGTACTAGTTATTCATCAGTGCAGTCTGTCGGTGAGAAGTAAATAGAACCATCCATCCCCCGTTGCTGGGAAGGAGCATCACTAAGTTATCTGTAAGAATGGTGAGCCCACAGCTTACGGCCGAGCTCTGCCTTTTTAATCTGGCAGAAGCGTTCAATACAAGTTAATCTCTCACCTGTCCAAGATGAAAAGAAACCTTTTTCATTCCCTCTGAAGTAAAAGCACAAAGGATGCAGCAGGGAAGTTTCCGCTTTTCTATTTTTATTAACAGTTTCTATAATCAGTAAGGTCTTATGTCAGACTTTAAGTAAGTCTGACTTAATTTAAAAATAAATCTTCAAATGTTTTATATTTTTGCTTGTATAGCAAAATGCTGGTCTGTGATAAAGACAAGGATATTTCAAAATTCTGCTCAAACTGCTGGATTTTATAGAAGATCTAGAGCAGGGATCAAAATTTTCTCTTGAATCACTGCCATAAACACGGCTACAAGTGGCCCAGCCTCACCAGAGCATTTCTGTGTCACAAAGAAACCTGATATTCAAGAGCTATCGCAGGAACAAAGAACTGAGCGTGACAAATCCAAGAGCCTGAGCACCACACCCAAGTAGATAATCTGAACTTGGTTTTACCAAACCACGTGCAGTACAGTGAGTACAGTTTCAGCAACAATTATACACTTAGGTCTTTCAAAGCATTCTCATAAAACTTCATGGTTTGAGTTCCACCCCCGCCCTCCCTCCCCAAAACCTCAAGAACTCTGAGAGCACCTTGACAATTATTCATAAGTAAGACAGTGCTGCTCTTCCTGAGCAGGAGTAGTCCTCCAGCAACAGCAGCAACAGAACCCAGGCTTCAAGCTCTACCTAGGCTAAAATTAACTCTGTGACTGAGAGACCTGTGAATCACGCAGACCACAGCCAGGCTAGATCAAGAGAGCTCAGTAAATCCTTTAAAGGTCAATGTTTGGCATAGGAGCGTCCCCACCCCACTTTCTTATTTTTCTTGAGGGCTTGGGCACTCCAACACCACCTTAAACTGGCAGAATTCTTATCTGTATGTGAAGATGAGTTTAGAACATCGGATATTTTGCAGAGTATTTCCTTCAGCACTGCTTATCACCACAACAGTCCAGACAGAGAAAGCTACTCCCAACAAACAGATTTCTAGAGTTCTGAACTGAATTTTCATCCACAGTTGTTACTCATCCCGATTTAACTGCTACCAAGCAATAAAATTGGTTTTTACATACGGTGTTGCTGAGGTGGTTATCAGGGAAGTTTTCTGTCAGCTGCCCATGCTGAAACTGCGGTAAATGCGCAGACAGTTCTGTCATTGGGGCTGTCCTCTGGAAATTGCTTATTTCTACACAAAACGGATCTTTCCTCTTGAGACGCTGAAAGGAAAAAGATGCGTAAAAAGCCTTTGTTCTTACATGACCAAGTTCTCCATCCCCTCCCTACCCTGATTTTTAGAGTTCACACAGACCAAAGATAACCCTTTTCTATCTACAACACGATATCGAACTGTACTGCGTATTTACTAAGCAGTCATAAAAGGGATTTTCCAGCATAAAAATAAAGAGCGTCTAGGTGCTATCAAATTAGTTCATCAGCCACAGAAGTAAGCCAGCAACAAATTAATCATTCAAAACGGTTCTCCATTCCTCCTAGTGCAATAAATGAGAAGCACTGCACGCTTGCACAGAGCACAACTTGAATGTTTTTATCTCAGCAGAGAAGTTGTTTGGTTTTGGATTGCTGGTAAGCTCAAGGGGAATCTTCAAGCAAGGATGACTGAGTTACATCTGATCATTTAAAATCTGGCTATATCTTTAACACTGTACTGCCCTAAGAACAACCCAGAGCTAAAAGCATGAAACAGTATTTCAGCTGAATCTCGAGAATTAATGTGCATTCATTTCCCCTAGTGGTAGGTTTTATGTATCAGCCAAATGTACATAAACACTCCATATGCTTGTAACAGCTTTATACATTCTTCCATAAAAAGTCACATGCTAACACGTTCCTATGCAAACATGAATAAACTATGTGCTCCATAACAAAGGAGGATAAAGCAATATAGCGGAAAGAGGAAGAAGGGTGACGTAACTACACAAGTTTCAGAAAAAACATAATTTTAAGAAACAATGAGTAGGCCTAGATAAATCACTGGCTTGGTTACACAAAACATAGGGAAGTGAATAAACCACTGCCTCAAGGGTGGAGTGCCAGTCCCCACTTCCATCCCAAGTGGCTCTTGCTCCTACCTTGTGCCAACTCCAGCACTCATCAGTCCTCTTTTCAGTACATTTTACTCACTAAAACAGAAGAAAACAAATCCAGGAAAAGAAGACGAGAATATTTTTCTGCGGTTTTAGTATACTCAGCTATGGAGGGATCTCGAAAAACTCGTACAAAGGAGAACATCACAAAGCAAGGCATCTACTTCTGGCAGCAGCAAGCCACAAAGGCTGGAAGACAACATCTTGAAGAGGGAGTTAAGCCTATTTTCATACACACTCAGAGGCAGAAACTGTTTCTTTAAGTACAAATAAACACATACCTTACAAGACTAGTGCATAGTGCTTACTAACTTCAGCAGGGATGTAGCTTACACTAAAGAGCCATTAGGAAGCAACACCAATTTAGCAAGCCTAGTGGGAACATGCAAGCTGTTTGGAAAACGGCAATGTTGTGTCACTAGAATAGCTCTCTTCTATGTTTGTAATTAAAAACAAAGAGCGTCTAATTTAAAATATAATGCAATGCAAGATTAGATGAAAATAAACAGGCGTTATGTTGCGTTTATACTTTTAAAGTTTTTGCTCTAATTCTTTGGTTGGGCTACAGAATGTAAACGTTAGTTTAAGGCTGCTATTGATAAAAAATCTCAGTGATGGGGACACCAGAGGAAAAAGTTGAGTATCGTTATCCAAACGTGGAGTATTAGAATGAGATTTTTTCACATAGCAGCATGTCAAAATTCTAATTAAATTACAGGAGGGGAAAAAACCCAAACAAACCAACTCAAAAAACCCACAAAACACCAACCCACAAAATCCTATTTAAAAACTGTTAAAGAAAACCACCACAAACTCACCAAACAGAAAAACAGCTACTGAGAAGTAAACTGAAGACAGGGAGGAGTAACTGCCAGAAGGGCTGCACCACAGCTCGAACGCTGGTGTCTAACGGGCCTCAAAACTTAGGGTCTGTTAAAACAATCCCTCAAGAGCTCAGAAAACGGATTCAGGACATCTTCCTGAACAACTTTACTTTTCTACTTTCAAATAAATGAACGCTCCCAAGTTTGAAATTTAACTACGAATGAATGAAATCTAGAAATGAACTGTGCATAAACAGACACAAATTAATTTTTTACTTCTTTTACCTGAAAAGGGACTCACCAAAACATTTTTGTCTAATGAAGCTGTTAACATTAAAGCAGCCTGTCTAAAAAAAAAGTTCTTCCTTGCTTCCTTTGGCTTTCCTTAGTAGGAACAACAGGAGTTAGAACCGTAGTCTGTGCGTTTACACGCAGCCTAGCAATCAGGGCTAACGCACAGGTAAGCTCTGTAATGTTTTCTCTGCTTCTAAGAGAAAGAAAAGCCAGTATCGATCGGCCACGGCAAGGGCGCTGCGGCCCGGTTAACCCGTGCTTTCTCCCTCTTAACGAGCAACAAGCAGCAGCCGCTGCTCTCCCGGGGGAACGCCGAGCGCCCCACGGAGCTCGCCCTCAGCCCGGCCCCGGCCCGGGGCAGCCCGGCCGCACACTGAGCCGGCACGGGGTCCCAG